CGCTGCTGCGCTCACCTCACAAACCCCACCCCATCCTTTCACTGTGGTTGTACAAGCACTTAGGAGCCTGCCTTACACGAAAGAAAAGCTTATTCCACTTCAGCATTTTATTACTTAGCTTCCCTCCTCCAGATTCATTGCGGCCTTTTTAATTCTGCAGTTTTTGTTTCTGTGGCCTACTTAATGTACTGCTTCCCCATTCTTCTGAGCGATCACCTCTCAATTATGGACATTAATGGAGAGAAGACAACTCCAAGAAGACAAGAGCAGCGATTAGTGGGCCGATTTGTATTAAAGAGCTTTACAGGTTAACGACAACACAGGCTGGAAGGTGATAAAGGAAGAGCGTTTAGTCCAGCAGAGGCTCTCCTGACGGACCTGCTGGACGTCACCGACATTGTCCATCCCCTGCCAGGCGCGCTGATGGCGCCCACAGCTCTGTGACATGGGCCTGCAGAACCCTGACATTGTCCGTCCCCTGCCAGGCGCGCTGATGGCGCCCACAGCTCTGTGACATGGGCCTGCAGAACCCCGACATTGTCCATCCCCTGCCAGGTGGGCTGATGGCGCCCACAGCTCTGTGACATGGGCCTGCAGAACCTCCTGCCTCAACACTTGCACCAGGGTGGCCTGACCTCACGAGTCAGTCGGTTTTGCTCCCGTACCTGTTTACGCCAGTTATACTTACTATCTAATTAACACAAATATTATGTAAACTGGTGAGGAGTGCAAAAATACAAAAAGATGTCATATCCGTGAAAAGCAAGTTACATGCTTTAGGAAGGATGGACGAAGTCAAGTCTCCAGAACTTTTGCCGCTGAATTGGGTGTGAGTGGCCGTGATTCCCAGCATCGTGTGGTTGTCCACCATTCTGTCATCTGACGTGATTACCCGGTATGTTGTAAATCCTAACCTCTATGAGGCGGGACTCAGTCTACAGGATTAGGTTGTATCTTCAGTCAATCTCTTTTGAGATATAAAAGAGAGAATCGAGCAGAGAGGAGAGGGAGCTCATTACCACCAACAAGAAGAGCTGGGAGCAGAGCGCGTCCTTTGGACCTGGGGTCCCTGTGCTGAGAAGCTCCTAGACCAGGGGAAGACTGATGACAAGGACCTTCCCCCAGAGCCGACCGAGAGAGAAAGCCTTCCCCTAGAGCTGACACCCTGAATTTGGCCTTTGAGCCTACTAGACTGTGAGAGAGCAAATTTCTCTTTGTTAAAGCCATCCGCTTGTGGTGTTTCTGTTATAGCAGCACTAGATGACTAAGTGACTAACCCCCGAACAGTGGCTGATCCCCGACTGGTTGCCTTTCTCTGGGGTAGATGTGCCCTTGAAGATCTCAGACAATCTCTAAATGTCCTTCACCAGCTGGGCCCTCAGACTGCTCAGGCAGAGGCGGGTGGTACCAGAACTTGTTGGGCAGCAAGAGGAGACTTGCCTCAGAATAAGGGCCAGCTTCAAGTAGTGGAGTGTGGGGAGAACCTCGAGGGGCTGATCCAAGGTGCCCTGGGTAGTAGAACTCTCAACACCACCTAAAATCTTGCACCACCCCACCCAGCGGGGCTGAGGCTCTGCCATGTGACAACCGAAAAGTAGAGGCCTCAGTGGTCATGGAAGGGGTAGTGTAAGGCCGGGAAAAAGATGGCATGGGGGGGCAGGGAAGGAACACAAGCCTTAGTCTCGTGATCTCGCCCTAAACTTAGCAAACAAAACAATGCCCGTTGGCTGCCAGCTAGCACTGATTTCTGCTCGATACTCCACTGCGTGTACCACCACAGCCATTACTGCACGTCACCACTAGAGGGCAACAGTGTTTCTAAAACGAGGGGTTCTTGGAGAGCCAAGAAATCACTTCCCATCAAGGAAGTTGAAAGCTGGGAGAGGTTTTGGTAATTATTTGGGGGAAACAATCATTCGGTCCACGATTAGTTCATACTACACATTTGAAATATTTAGACAATCTACTTATCCTTGCTTCTGCAGTGAACTGAACAGCGTGTATTCCACACCACTCCATAAAAAAAAAAAAAAAGACCACGCTACTGAACTGATCCATGACCCACTGGTGGGCCCTCGGTTTGAACAACCCTGACACAGTTCCATGCTCTCATTTTACAGAGGAGCGCACCGATCCGGGAATTGGAGGGTCCCCACGAGCCACACCCCTCTTCTCACCCATCCAGCCACCTGCTCCCTCCTGATCAGTCCTGTGAGCTGAGCATTCACAACAATTCATTGATGAGACAAAAATGCACAGCTGAGTTTGGGGGATCAACCATTTGTTTACTTCTTGTCAATGCTGTGGCTGATCTTGTGGCTGAAGGAGAAATTCCTTGAATTGGGACACTGACGGCTCCGTGCAGTTGCTGAGTGGCTGCTTCAAAAAGGCCTCTTCTGATGACTCCAGCCCACACCCACTGCCGTGGAGTCCACTCCACCTCACAGCGACTCCACCCCACCCACCCGGTAACTGAATTACGGCCACAGTCTCTGACGGCCCCACCCGACCTCACCCCGTATCTGAATTAGGGCCACAGTCTCTGACGGCCCCACCCCACCTCACCCCGTATCTGAATTAGGCCCACAATAACTGCCAGTCCCATAGCAGAGCTCAGGAAATAGCTGATGAAGGGGTGGAAACTCACATTTTTGTGCTTTACAGTTGGCACATACATCATCTTGTAGGATTCTTAAAACGACCTGGCAGGGATGACAGCACGAGTTATTGCCGTTCCAAACGGGCAAACAGCCAGAGGAAGCTTATGTGACCTTGTCTAGGTCATGTGGCTCGTTGGAGGCAAAACGGGCTGGTATCAGGGCTCCCTACAGTACCCCACAGGCTAGTCCCCCACATTCAGGAAAGACACACATAAGACAGTTGTCGTGGAGTCAGCCCCGACTCATGGTGACCCCATGGGTGTCAGAGTAGAACTGTGCTCCACAGGGTTTTCAATGGCTGATTTTTCAGAAGTCGTTCGATAGGTTTTTCTTCCAGAGCATCTCTGGGTCAACTTGAACCTCCAACCTTTTGGTTAGCAGCGGAATGCGTTAACCCTTCGCACCACTCAGTAGGAATCAGGGCTCACTCCCAGCCACCCCTCCTTGCCTCTGCCGTCCCCAAGGACCCTGGCATGTCGCCGTCACAGGCTGCCCTGACCACCCTGCAGAGGAACTGTTTTCACTGAATTCCTGGGAGAAGCGGAAACCACTTGGGGCTCTGAAACAGTCACTGAGTTCTCTTCCTCAGCACCCCGCCTGTAAAGCATCGTAACCATTTCTGGAGGGAAGAAAGGTAAACCGGAAAACAGCAGGCTAACCTTTCTAAGGGTCAGTGTCCTGGATTTTTCAACTTTTTATTATTTGTCTCTACTTAAGAATTAATCGCCCTTTTTGCACTAAAAGAAGCATTCCTTCAAAATTCTGTGATATAAGGTTACAGATGGAAAACACTGACTGAATGTTTTGTGGAAAAGAAAGGGAAATTTTGCTTAACTCTCAGGTTCTGAGGGCCAGTTTGATTATCTTGTGAAGGGGGAGGCTGAATAAAAATGCAAAGTATTTTACTATTCTTCTTTTGGTCTTGGAAGGAAGGAAAAACAACCCTGGTATCTGAAAACTGGTGTACTTTAGAAATCTGAGTTTGGTTTTCTGTAGGGAATCCTCCCATCTGATAACCAGGAGGCGAATCTTCAGGGGCTGCTCTTTAGGGCTCCGGCTGGTAGCCACTCTCCTACCCCGACTGAAAGCTCTCAGCTCTGTTCACTTCTCCTTTAGGCTAGTCAACCTGAACCTTTTTTTTTTTTTTTCCCCACCTGGAGACAACAGAATTGTTAAAACAGGTGATAAGAATAACCAAACCCGTTGAGTTGATTCGACTCATAGCAAACCCCATAGAACGGAGTAGACCTGCCCCCTAGGGTTTCCAAGGAGCGTCCGGTGAATTCGAACTGCCGACCTTTTGTACCTCACCATCGCTCTTAACCGCTGTGCCACCAGGGCTCTGGCGATAAGAGTAGGTTGCCTTTTTTTCTAGCAACAAATTGATTTCATAATTCGGTGAGTTTAGCAATCCTAGTTACAGGAGTATGTCTTTGAAGAACCAAGGCTGAGCTTCCAAGCTTCTCTGCCCCTGTGTCTGACACCAGGCCTCGGACAATCCTAAGGGAAACGCCAACTGCCACGCGCTACATTTAATTCTAGATTCTTTGAGGCTACGAGTCTGCAAGCTTTGTGGAATATTTGGGGATTACTGGAAGTAGCAACATTGTTTTGGGGTTAGATTTAACGTCAGTCCGTCACTTTCATAATCCTGTACCTGATGAAGAAAACGATGTAGCGCCACAAAGTGATACCTACAGGCAGTGCCTTGAAGTGCATAACCAGACTATAAATTCCCTATTCATTCACTTCTTGGAGAAAGCTGCGCGCCGTGCACTCTCTCCCATGGATTAAAGCAGGCGCCAAGATTGCGGGGGTTCCTGTCCAGGCTGACACTCAAATTCCAACCACGTTACCCTGAAGCCCTGGCGTGGTGGCCTGCAATTAACAAGGGACAGTCCGCGCTCCAGCATGGGAACTACCTGGTTTTTGAAGTCTCACCCGAGACTCCTGCCGGGGCGTTGTATGCAAGGTGGATTAACCAGTAGAGACGGTATACACCGGTTTCCTTGTGTTTATTTACTCATCTTTGATGAGGTGGAAAAAAGGTGAAAGTGCACTACAGATTAGTAAGTAAGCATAAGTAAGGCCATGCGTACCTTGTTTATTGGCTAATCCGTCCCTGGCTGCATAGCAGCAACCCTGGGTACCTCTAGCCAAGACTAAGCTTTGTCCTTTGGGCCTGTCTCCCAGGGACGGGGACTGTCCAGAGCGCTGCCCCGTGAAACACCTTAACAACCTCAGCCGCCTGTGGGCTCCTCCTACCCCCCGGACCCTGGGAGGGCGGCCCGCGGGCATCCCGCGCCTGGCGCTCGCCCTCGCCGGCCCTCCCGCACTCACCCGCGCGCGGCCCTCCTGCAC